GATACGTAGGTAGGTACTTCGAAAATCGCTAGACAAAGGACTCAGGGGCGCAGCCAGGGAGGGGGGCACACTGGGCTTTAGCCCCTCCCAAATCTAGCAGGCGCCTTCCACAATCATTCTGTGCGCCGATGGCGCCTATCAGTGTCCACTATCCAGCACTCTAGTCGCCCTCGACGGTAAGCCATTGCGGCACATCATGCGGCACTGGCGCCCAGGTTTACAATTTTCATAACTACTACATAGATATGTAGTAGTCTAGGCAATTTTATATCTCTTTGTGGGTGAAGATGCACCCACAATCCTGAAGTGCCGGATATCCACTCCCAATCTCCTGACCATCTAGCGCCCTCGGCTCACCTTTAGCGCCCTTCTGTCTGTTCGGCGCTCTTCTGCTCTGTCGGCGCCCTTCTCGGCCTTCAGCGCTCTCCTGGCCTGTCGGCGCCCTCTTCACATTCGGAGCCCTCCGGGCAGACCAGTTGGCGCCCTCATGGGCATTATCACACAGCATCCTCCTTATCTGTCTCGTCCTCCACAAGTCCACACATGTCAGCGCCCTCCTGACCTGGCAGCGCCCTCCTTATCGTATTATAGCGCCCTCCTCACCGTACAGTGTCCTCCTGACCTGTCGCCATCCTCACTGTATAGCGACCTCCTAACCATACAAATTACAAAGCCCTCCAGACAGACGCCCTCTACGTTCAGCGCTCTCCTGACAAGTCGGTGCCCTTTTCACCGTAGAGGGCCCTCCTGATTTGTCGGCGCCCTCATGACCGTGCATCGCCTTCCTCACCTGTCCGCGGCCTCCTCTTTATAGAGTATCCTCCTGGCCTGTCAGCGCCCTCTTCACTCGTATAATGCCCTTCTCATCGTATGGCATCCTCCTCACCACACGGCGCCCTCCTGACCTGTCGGCGCTCTCCCCACCATACAGCGCCCTGCTGACTTGTCGGCAACCTCTTCACGGACAGCGTCCTCCAGATCTGTCGCAGCCCTCATCACCGTGCAGTGCTCTCCTGACCTGTTAGCGCCCTCCTCGCCTGTCGGCGACATCTTCGCGTTCAGCGCCCTCCTGACCAGCCGGCGCCCTTTGCAACGCATAGCGCCCTCATCACCATGCATCGCCCTCCTGACCAGTCGTTCATCGTACAGCGCCCTCCTGACCTGTCGGCGCCCTCCTCACAACACATCGCCCTTCTGACCGGTTAGCGTTCTCCTCACCATGCAGACAATGCAACAGTGTACAATTAGGAAATCGTTAAGGAACCTATGTTTAACCCTCGCCGGCACAGGCCATTTTGTCATTCGACGGCACAAGGGGGGGGGGGGTTGGAACGACCCCCCTCGCATTTGGCCCCTGATGGAGCTAGAGCTTCGCGGAAAAAACGAGCGTGTTGCCCGTCACGAGAGGAAGCCAATGATATTTAAGTTTAAGGTCCTAGGTCATCGGTTGACCTTCCAGGTCAGGTCAATGACCCAAAAATCGGGAATATCGGGCCCTGTTAGAAAGTCGTAAAGTGTGGCTGCTAAGGGTTTTCCGGGGTGCTGATCACGAATATCGTGTTAGTTTTGATCACAGATGATGTCGTTAAGCCTTCAGACCAGGTCGGGTCAGGTCAGAGGTCAACCGGTAGGGGTCGTGACGGGTATATTCGTAGTACCTGTCATCCGTCTCTGACAGCTTCGTAGCATGTTACGAAGGCACCAAAACTACTTCGTAAATGTTCAAATGGTTGCTAAATTCGAATTCAGCTCCAAAAACTAGCCTAGAAACATGTAAAACTCGAAAAAGTGAACCGAGGTCACCAAAGGTCAATGACCTGACCTGACCTTCAGGTGACCTTGAAACCCACCCTAATGCATGGGAGCAACATCAAATCACATGTTTGGACGATTGAAACCACGAAAAGCTTGCAAACGCGCGGCTAATGCGAGCCAACATACGCCGAATCGTGATTCCGGCCAAACATGGTCTCGGAAAAGAGGTCACAGGTCAAAGGTCATTTGAGTCAGGGTCATGAAATTTTCAGGGTAGGTGTAAAATTGATCAATGCGAGGATACTGAAAGTTTCGTCGTGATCGGCCGCATTTTACGCGAGTCATTCGCGAAAAACCTTAGGGGGGTTCCCCCTGTGCCGGCGAGGGTTAAAGTGATTTTAGGCGCGAAGTAGTAATGAAGCATTTTCCGGGAAAATAAAAGCATGACAACGTTTCTAGCGTTTCCGGAACGTTTCCGGAAAGGAACTTGTTTACAACCGTGACCCTCAAAATCATATGCAAGGCCAAACTTGCGGCGAAGGCCAGCTGAGAAGTGTACGCCCCCGTGACGTCACGGCTAATGTTAAAGAGTCGGGCGCCCGGCACATAGGAAAGCTCGGGATGACAGCCCCCTGCATTCCGTGAGCTAGCGTCAACCTCTGGTAGGGTCGGAGGTATAGGCTTGTTGATGTCTCTATGTAAGCCAAAAATGGCTGGCAGAGTGCCGCGAAACACCACCCTTATTTTTGCACAATAATGGTGTGATAGGTAACTGTTCCTGCAAGAACATATAAGGTGAAATGAAGTAAAATCAGGTCAAACATTAATATATACCCAAAAGAAGCAGTGTATGGAGTACCTATGTTCACATTACCAATAATATGATACACAACAGGCCATAGAAAAACCGGTGAATGTTGAATTGTAACCCAATTTCAATATCAACATGGCACTTGGCATTGACCAAGGCCCTATATACCAGGTAGGGTCGTCCGTCGATTCTACCTTTTCGTGACGTCAGCTCGTGACGTCATTTGGAGTCAAGTCTCGAAGCCCCGTTCAATCCCCATGTAAATGAGCGATTTTCGAAGCACTGTAGAATGAAGTCTGCACAAGATATATCAAACCTAAGTATCTTATCTGAAAGAGCAGACAATTTTCTGCAAGTTATCTATTACGTGTTTTTCGCTAAATCTTTTGCTTTTTTCACAAAAGCGTAAAATGTCCCCCCATGTCTCCGCAGCCTCCCTGCCGCCGGCCGCCGCGCGGTCGCGGTAGTGTAGTGGTTAGCGTGCCCGCGCAGTATTCCAAAGGTCCCGAGTTCGAATCTATGCGGTGCGGAACTTTAATTGCAATTCCAAGCTGAATATACGCACATCCATAATAAATTATTATTCGTATAGCTAAACTGTCACCAAGCTATCCATATAAATTGACTTCACCCAAAATATCGGCAAGATTCTATTAAAATATAAATTCAAATATGGCGGCTTCGACTGCCGCGTGCGTTAGGCTCCGCCCATAGCTCCACCCACATGCGTGACGTCATTCGTGTTAGTGGACACACGCGGAGATAGGGGACGACATGGGCCTGGCATTGACAGTAAAACACACCGTTTTTTATGTTAAATCAACAGAAAAAACTCCTGAACATAAACAAAATGATCAGAATATATAATAAGGATAATAGTATAAATAAAAATCGACGAATCGGCCTATCATCGCCCTTACACATTCACCCAAGGCCCTATATACCAGGTAGGTTCATTAGGGAATTTTTTACGTTCCCCCTACCGGCCCCGGATGACGTCACTGGGGTGCTCCCGCCGCGGCCGGCCTATGTATAGAGCATTACTACGAACTTTCCGGTGGCATTTTTTCGTGTTATAACGCCCTAAAAGCTATCGCGAGCACTTTTCGCACTAGAAATTGAAAATATGTCGCATTTTAAAGTGAGTAATAGTGATATAAGGTCATGTCCAGGAAAAGCGGGCCGAAACCAGCGAGGCTTGTATGGGTCCCAGGGCGCAGGGTTATGGAGTTGGGACCGGACTTTGATCGGAGTCGAACTGGAGCCGGAATCGGAGTCGGAGTCGTTTTTGGAAGCCGGAGCCGGAGTCAGAGTCGAAGTCACCAAAAATTCATCGGTTCCGCAGACTGCGGAGCTGCAGGGCTGCCAGGAGTCTGAGTCGGAATCGGTCAGAATAGACAGTTCTGCCCGGAGTAGGAGTCGCAGGGCTGCGGAGTCGATGGATTTTCGGTGACTCCGACTCCGACTTTCAAAAACCAGCTGCGACTCCGACTCCGACTCCGGGCAGAATTGTCGGCTCCGACCGACTCCGACTCCGCAGACCTAGCAGGGCTGCGGAGTCGACAGATTTTCGGTGACTCCGACTCCGACTCCGGCTCGGGTTTCTAAAATCGACTCCGACTCCGACTCCGGTCACAACTGTCGACTCCGACCGACTCCGACTCCGACTCCGACTCCGCAGCCCTGAGGAGTCGGAATTAGTTTTTGGAACTATAAGTCAGGAGTCAGTAGTCACCGAAATTACATCGGCTCCGCTGCCCTGCTAGGGCGCTCAGGACGGATGCACTTAAGTTGCATTGCTGAGAAAAATCGAATAAACATTTTCACTAAATATTATAAGTTTCGCTTACGGGTGGCCGTTACTCACAGCTGGTGGTACAATATCGAGACGCACAGCCGTTACCCAATGCCGAGTCGCACAGTGAGTCGCACAGCCGTTACACACAGCCGGAGGCACCATGTCGAGTCACACAGCACCAACAGATCTGGCCGTGCCACACCGAGTCGCACAGCCGTTACACACAGCCGGAGGCACCACGCCGAGTTGCACAGCACCAACAGATCTGGCCGTGCCACACCGAGTCGCACAGCCGTTATACACAGCCGGAGGCACCACGCCGAGTTGCACAGCACCAACAGATCTGGCCGTACCACACCGAGTCGCACAGCCGTTACACACAGCCGGAGGCACCAATTGCCGAGTCGCACAGCACCCACACAGAGCCGGCCGTACCACACCGAGTCGCACAGCCGGTACACACAGCCGGAGGCACCATGCCGAGTTGCACAGCACCAATAGAGCCGGCCGTACCACATCGAGTCGCAAAGCCGTTACACACAGCCGGAGGCACCATGCCGAGTCGCACAGCACCCACACAGAGCCGGCCGCACCACACCGAGTCACACAGCACCACGCCGACTCGTAGTCGCTACACGAGCCGGTTTACCAGCTCACCTAGAGCTCCTTGCATGATGGCCAACTTTTCTATCGGCTCTTTTCAGCTGCCGGACCTCGTCCAGTCAGGCTAAGGGACCGAAGGGGGAGGTGAAGACGGGTGCTCACCAACTTCCTGGACACGCGGGTGCCGAGCTGAGGCTGCTTGACGGCAATGAACAGCTTGAGACGCTATATGACTCGCGGCCCCTGATCTGCACTTGCCCCCATCAGCAGGCAGAAGTTCCGCTCGAACTCCTCCACAGCGGCCATCCAGGCTTGTGACAGAACAAACAGCTGGCCTCGGCTGATCGTCACAATTCAGCTGTTCGGCAGGGTGTTCAGTGTCTCCAGCGGCGCCCGAGAAGTCAGGAGACCGGCTACCGAGGGTGGCGTCGATGTGGTGACACTTGTATGCCACGAAGCCGGCAACAAATGCCAGCCCCTCGCGCTGAGCTTCCAGGTTGGAACTCGTCAGCTCGGCGCCGGCCATGGCTGCCAGCGTCGACACCGGCAGCGGCACTGTGAAAGCAGTATTACGCTACATCACTTGAAAGACATTGACAATTAAATATTGTGCAACAAAAGAAAAAAACGTTAACACTTAAATGAGCCTAGTCTACGCACTGAAAGTGACAAATTTCGCGGACAACGAAAAATGCATGCCCTTTGGCTTTGCATTAATCCATTTTCCCGTTACTATTAACCCTCGCCGGCACAGGCCATTTTGCGTCCTTCGACGGCACAAGGGGGGGGGGGGTTGGTACGACCCCCTCGCGTTTGGCCCCTGACCGAGCTAGAGCTTCGCGGAAAAAACGAGCGTGTTGCCCGTCACGAGACGAAGCCGATGATACCCAATTTTAAGGTCCTAGGTCATCGGGTGACCTTCCAGGTCAGGTCAATGACCCGAAAACCGGGAAAATCGGGACCTGTTAGAAAGACGTAAATTGTGGCTGCTATGTGGTTTTCCGGGGTGCTGATCACGAATATCGTGTTAGTTCTGATCAGAGATGATGTCTTTAAGCATTTAGACCAGGTCGGGTCAGGTCAGGTCAGGTCAACCGGTAGGGGTTGTGACGGGTATTCGTAATACGTGTCAACCGCCTCTGACAGCTTCGTAACATGTTACGAAGACACCAAAACTACTTCGTAAATGTTCAAATGGTTGCCAAATTCGAATTCAGCTAAAAAAAACTAGCCTAGAAACATGTAAAACTCGAAAAAGTGAACCGAGGTCACCCGAGGTCACCAAAGGTCAATGACCTGACCTGACCATCAGGTGACCTTGACACCCACCCTAATGTATGGGAGCGACATCAAATCACATGTTTGAACGTTTGAAACCACAAAAAGCTTGCAAACGCGCGGCTAATGTTAGCCGACATACGCCGAATCGCGATTCCGGCCAAACATGGTCTCGGAAAAGAGGTCACAGGTCAAAGGTCATTGGGGTCAGGGTCATGAAATTTTCAGGGTAGGTGTAAAATTGGTCAATGCGAGGGTACTGAAAGTTTCGTCGCGATCGGCCGCTTTTTACGCGAGTTATTCGCGAAAAACCCTGGGGGGGGGGTTGCATCAACCCCCCCCCCCCCCCCCTGTGCCGGCGAGGGTTAAGCCTCGTTTGGCGACTGCCCCCCGAATTCGCTCGTGATTAGCATGGCACTTTTCAGAAGGAAAAAAAACACTGCGTATAAAATTGTTCAAACATCAACCAAGACTGAAACAACTCAGTTTTTTTTTCTAAGCACTAGTTAGGACCAGCATAGGTCATTATCAGAACATTTAGTGGATGTGACTTGAGACATCACCTTATTGGATTGAGTGGCGGCCTTATGCCGACAAAAAGTTACCATTACTCATGGCAAAAAGAATGTTTTGATGCATTTTACCAATGGGAATTAAAATGGTGTCGCTCAAGACGGGCCAGGATTTCTAACACTGATGGATATTTGTGAGCACTTTTAATGTGAGTGAAGACATTAACCATTAGACTTACTTGTCAGAGGTCCCTGCTGGCTGGTCTAGAGGTTGCTCGCAGGCTGCCCCCAGAATCTCCTTGACCTCCTTTGCATGGTCCTCCTCAGGGACCTACTTGCCCTCGCCTCAGCTTCCTGTAAACAGAAAACTCTCAGCACAAACAAATTTGGCTAACATAATGCTGACAGTACGAGCAACTAATAAATAAATTTGAAGAAGATTAGCAGTAAGCACCTACCCATGAAATAACTTTAGTGACCAATTTGAAAATAAACAATAATACCATGCAAAAACATTTGTTTTCATTTTTACAGCTCTGATAACATTGCAACGTGACTGAGATGAACCCAGCCCACAGTATGTGACCATACTATATACAATTTAAATTTTAATGATAAAAAGTACCTAAAGAGCTCATTTATATTTCAATTTGCCATTGTAGCACTAGTTTGTTTACATTGCGTGCTTTCTCTAAACATTTTATTTGTTGAGTGTATCATGTTAGGTCAAGGTACTTATGCGCACTGCGAGCACTGAAAAATTATTACCTACCAGCTTAATTGCAAAAATGGAAACTTTAAAAAACGCCAGATTATGTTAAGATCCGTTGCAAAATGAATACCTTGGTTGAGGTTCCTCAGGATGTTCCCACCTTGAAATACTTGGTTGTTCTTCATGATATATGAGACGAAACGTAATACAAAGTGTGGTTGCCACTTATGTTAAGGTTTTGCGACCTTCAAACACATGAAAATGTGTTTATATTATTAAACAAACATATTAAAACTTTGCATAGCAACCAAAGAAATAACACGCAACGGTCGGAAAACACTGCGCCGGTGCGCCAGAATTGACTACATTACTCGAATCTCAGCGACCAATCAGCTTTCGAGCATCCCAGTGACGTCACATTGGCAGCATTTGGTAGCAATTTCCTTGTACGTGTGTCCCTATGGCGATGAACCCCCCCCCCTGCATTCACCACTCCCAATCCCCATTCCACGCACAGATTGTTTACCTCTTGGTTTACCCCGTGTTCGCAGTCTCCCGGACGACGAAGTTTCTGTACGCCGTCCGACCAATCACGTTCAAGATCAGCGGGGCTTGGCCGCGGTTCTCGAACGCCATTGGCCAGATTACGCAGAATCTTCGTCGTCAGGGAAACTATGAACACGGGGCTACATTTTTCGCTATGGTAACAAAAGCGCCAGAATTGACTACCAGAATTGGATCCGAAGGTCAAATGGGTCACGTGACTGTGCAGTTCAGATGGAAAACACCTGGCTAAAACAATATAATTTTGGCTCAGCATATTTTTGAAAAGGAGGAAAGGTCATTACAATAAAGAAATACTTGATTTTTACATTAATAACGATCCTCCAACAAGCACTAAAACAGTATCTCAGACCATGGATCTCAAGACTCAAGGCCAATTTCCCAGTGTTGATGTGTTTTGTGGTGTTTTGATTCTGCCTTTTCTCCTAGGGAATGTTGTCATGGACATACCTATTACCAACCATTAGACTTACTAATTGATAGTGTTTTTGCAACATGAATGAGTATTGTAGTTATAAATGGACAAGTATTGTATCGAGAGTACATGAACCTCCAGGCTCCACGAATCAAACTATTAAAACAGTTACATTTAACCCTAGAACGCCTAGGGGGGGTTTTATCAACCCCCCCCCCCTGAGGTTTTTTCGAAGTGCACGCTAAACGGCTTGTCGTAGCGGGCTGAAATTTTCAACACCCTCTGGGGCAACCTTTGCGCATCTTTTGCCGAAAAAAATTGATCGGGTCATGTCAGGTCACGGAGTTATGACGTCATAAGAGGTACAGCCTCCGGCCGGATTTTCACAAACTGAGTGCCAACGCCCGAGGTTTTCTGCCGGTGGTACAGACATCGGTTGATGGATCGTGATGAAACTTCCCATGCATGTTGGGGCAAGTATTGGCTATCATATGGTATAAGAAATTTGACCGGGTCAGGTCAGGTCACGGAGCTATGACGTCACAAGAGGAACAGCGTCCGGTACTATTTTTGAAAAGCGCCCGAACCACTATTTTGCTAATTATTGTCACCTCAATGGGAATATGCAGCAATATTAGCTTCTATAGGGAGCAAATGGACCTCCCAAATCCAAAAATACAATCAGATTTCAAAAATTTTAATTTTGATTTTTCGAATTTCTGCCGCCGACTGTGACCTTGCCGACTTCCGGCGCTCCCAACGCGCCATTTTTAAAGCTAGGGAAACGAAATACATACCAAACGATAGAGAATTGATCAAGGAACACGATAGTGAAGGTTTCAAGTCGATATCTCCCACCGTTTTGCCGCAATCGCCGCCGAAAGTTGAAAAAAGTCTATTTTTCCGAAAATTTGACCTTTGACCGGTCAAAAGTAGGTCAAATGTTGACCTAGGACCAAAAAATATACCATCAATCGCGAGATCTCGTTGAGAGCAATCCGTTGGTTTTTTCCGCTAAGCTCTACGACCTTCCGTTTCGAAACGCCAGGGGGGGGGGGGTCGTAACAACCCCCCCCCCCCTGGTCGTTCGTGTTATGAGAAATGGCCTGGTCGTGCGAGGGTTAAGGCGTACCGGTTTCGTCTATTGACTTCTTCAGCGCCGTATGAAACAAGGAACAAGAAAACGAGCACAACATCAATCGTTTGAAATAAATAGCACGTATTTCTGAGAACAAGGTCAGAGTAGTCGGGTACCTCCTAAATAAAACGAAATCATACATATTTTCGTGAACATGTAACAATCTATTCGCAACATGATATTACAATAGCTAAATAGTGTTATATCAATTGACGGTGCATATAATATGTTTTCACTTCTCTCACTCTTTCACTCTCCTCTCTCTCTCTCTCTCCTCTCTCCTCACACGTTCGCCTCTCTCTCTCCTCTCTCTCTCTCTTCTCTCTCTCGATCTCGTCC